GGCTGGCGCGTTTCTAGCCTCGGGATCCGCTCGTATCCCGAGGAAAGCGCCTATGGACAAGCTGCCGAAGGTGTTATTCTTGATGATGATCGTTCCTCTTGCCGTCACGTCGAAAGCCTCGCTCTCGAGGCTCTCGACTATGCAATTCTGTATCGCCACTGTACGCGGACTTCTCACGATGAACGCGTCGCTTCTCACTGTCCCCATTTTTACACCGTCCAGCATGAACTTGTGATAGACCTCTATGTCGTTCATCGTTCTGCTCGGCACTTGGTCGCCGAAGCTGCCGCCGATCACGTGCAAGTAACCGACGTCGAACTTCTTGAAAGCTTGCGCCTCCATGTTCTCGATGTTGCAATTCTCGAGCCTGAGAGTATCGGTGCGCACCAGATTGACGAACGAGAACGCGCTCAGCTGGCCAATCCTCACGTTCTCGAAGCTGATCGCCTCTACGTCCCCACGAAAGACGAAACTCGGTATCGTGTCGATGCTACAGTTCCTCACGGAGATCCGCGTACGAGTGCTTTGCGGGGACAGTTCGAAACTGTGTTTCACCAGGCTTAGATTCGCCACGTTGATCAGATCCACGTACCGTAGACCGACCATCGAGGCTAGACTTGAGTTCGTCAGGATTACGGACGAGCAATTGCTCACCGCTATTCTGCTAGTGTGAGGGCTTAGTCTTCTGTCGCCCTCCGTTGTTAACACCAGTTCCTGAAATTAGACGAATTCCGGTTAGAGCGTGCATTGTCGAAGGAAAGTTTCGGTTGAAATTCGACGTATCATAGGGTGGTTTAATAAAAGGTCGAACGGCTGTAATCGAACGTCTATCGAGCACCTTAATCGTTAGAAAAGCTAGGTTTGCCTTTGGTGTCGCGGGAACCTGCCAATTAACCAGAGGCCAATATCGTTATCGTAATCGAGGGCTTAGCGTTTCCTATTTTCTCCCCCTCCGGTAAATGTTTCCACGAAAATTCCCAGGCTAACGAGACTCGGTCACGGAGTTAGCGTTTTGCACCTTTTCTCCTGTGCTTTATACCTGTACTTTCCACTTTGACACCGTTCCCTGATACACGTTCGCCACTTTAATCGGTCGATTTTTCAATTCTTATTATTATCGAATAAGTGAACACTTGATACTTTAATAGTAACGTAGGGATGAAAATTTGTCAAGAGAAACATCAGAAGGGATCGAGCATCGATTTCGGTAAATTTACACGATCGAAATTTTCACAAACAGCTTTTTTGCATAAAAAATTCTTCCGTCCGGTAGAAACGCGTTCGCGAACAATAGTGCACCAGGGGCAAATGGTACCGGAAGAGGAACATCTCGGACAAACGGTCCCGCTAACTCAGCTGCGTTGTTTGTAACCAGCTGCTCGTCGCTCGTCCATTCTCCTTCTTTATTAATTCATTTGCACGCGGCGCGTAGAGCACGTAGCTGATGCCACCTGCCACTCGCTGCCTCTTTGCTCGTTCACAATCGATGGCGAAACGCGTTACCTGCTTATACAGATACCGCTTCGTTTACTTTTCTCCGCAACATTATCGCGTTTTTCTGGGCTAACTAAGCTTCGATAAGAAGAAGTCGCTCGTGGATGAACAGAGAGTCTATTTCGACGATGATTCGTTCACATTTTTCCATTCTACGTTCGATAGAAGCTTATAATGTAGATAAACTAGTGGTTGATCCAGTTTCGATACGTTTGAAAGTTCGTCGAATCTCGAGTATCTCCAAGGAGAAAGAAAGAACTCGAGGGACAAATTTCGCGTAATTCCATGTTCTCACAAAATCTCTGGTTTACCTTAGTTAGAGGACGGTGAAAAAAGACGTCGGTTATTAAGACGTTGGACGTTCATTGTTCGCGCGGAACGAAGGAGTTTCGTGGTAGGCCGCAGCATTAGCGATGAATGAGAGAGAAGAGACTGCGAACGAGAAGGTCTGCGAGAAGCGGGGAAAGAAGAGAGGAAGGATGAAAGAAAAATAAAAGGGGTTCTCGCGTAGTGCGTGGCCGATAAAAGCTTTGTGCCCCCTTTTTTTTCTCAGGTGCGTTTCAACGTCTCGCCCCCGACGTAATCTCTCTTCTCTCGCGCGTCCCTTCCTGTCTGTCCGACCTTTGTTCCCGTCTCATTGTTCTTGGTCAATTCCCGGCACACAATCTCCGGCCCATAGAGGAGATTACCGCGGCCAAAATACTTCTGTTCGCGTGCACAGCTCTTTTTTCACCTTCGAACAATTACACGCTCGTCCAGCCATCGTTTTCGTTTCCGTTCTCCTCCTGGGTATTCCTCCGTTCTTCTCGCAACACTCCAAGTCTTTTCATTCGATGTAAATCTTCTCGTTCCTGTGTTTTCACAATTTTACAAATTTATCAGATTTTCCCGAAATCGTTCGAAACGTGAATTCGCGATCGACGAGAGAAGGACGCGAATTTCTGGACTCTCCGGGGGAACGAGAATTTTATTTCCACGCGGTCGTGTCCTCTGGAGAGAGACCAAGTGTCGGAGAGTAACTCCGGAGACGAAACGAGGGTTGAAACAGGAGTAACAGGAAACAACGACATAACGCGATATTCCTTTTTAACGGCACACGGCCTTTATTCTCGCGGCTCGTAACCCCCCGCGTGTACACAGAGCTTCCACCACGCGTAATTCTATCGAGTGTGCGATATTTCTGCCATTCTCCGGATAGTCTCGCGTAGAAATAAAAAAAAAAAGAGACAGAAAAATGTGCAGCTTCGCGTCGAGGGATCGCTTCCTGATTACTTAAACCAACGTTGATCGAGGGTGTCCGGGGTTGCAAGCGTCAATTTTCCAGTAGCGAATCTCAGGTGTATTCGGTGGTCGCGGCTTCGTTTTCAAGGGGGAGAAAACAAAAAAATGATCGTCGTGCCTCGCTAACGTTACGACTGTGATCATCCCTGGGGTAGTTCTCGAGCGCGATTTTAATTAGAAAACACACCGGTTATCGTCGATTGCAGACGTGGCAGAGTATTAATGAAATTATATCTGGCTGGGGATATCGTGGACTATCGGGGAACGATTACGAGAACGTTTATCTAAAACGAAAACGAAATCGTTCTAATGGTAGTTCCAAATCGATCCTGTTCCGCGGTCTAGAGTTTTATGGAGTCGCGGCACCATACCGCGAATCGAGTATTTCGACCAACCGTGGAAGAACGCGCAGGAGGGATAGGAAAGAGCACCTTTTACGATCTATAAAGGATTTATGCGAAACAATTTCCATCGTTCGGGCAGATTCGTTCGTTCGGGAACTGAACTGCTCGCCCCGTTATCGTGTACTCGTTACTCCCTCAACTACCCTTGCAGCAGCATTTCCTCTCTCCGCTCCTTCCCAGCGACCGATAGTCGTTCTTTTTATTCACGCGCTCTTTAATGCAACGTCCATGGAAACGGTAATTGATGATCGTGTACATCGATGTTCCAGTTAATCGAACCGTCTTTCGTTTTAACTATTCATCCGTCGAGGAGGATATTTCGCCCTTTCTCTCTATCCCTTTTTCATTCACCTCTTTTTTTTTCTTTCTTTCTTTCAAAGCTTCACTTCGAGACGCCTGAGAATAATTTCCTTTCAACGTCGACCAAATCGACTAAATAACAGGGCTCTCCCTCTCGTTTTGTACTCATCGTTCTTCTACGCGAATCGACGGTGAAACGACGGTGTGCTCCAGATGCTTGTTCCTTTTCTACGACTTCGCGTAGCCAGTTTCCGCCATCGAGTTTCCATTTTCCGACTATTTTCATAACCGTGCTGCGCCTTCTCTCCTCTTCGTAAATGACGCCCTTACGGCTCCTCTCTCTCTCTCTCTCTCTCGTTTAGGACGAAGTGTTGGCGCTTACAGCTGTTACTTTTACACGCCTCACAGGCAACAGGACCACCACCGCATCCCTGTTCTTTATTTCGTGCTTTATTTCGACGTCTCTCGTTATGGGAAAAGCGGGCGAGTTTAAGGCTGTATCCCGCTAAAAGGTTTCCTCAATTATTCACGGTATCGTCAATTATTCAGCGGCCGCCGGCGCGCTTGACAACTTTACCCGCGTTGACTCTGTCTCGTGGATGGGCTTTTTCTTTCTCTCGCGAAATATCCTGTTTTGTCTGAACCGAGACCGACAATAACAACAAAACGAACAAAATCTTATTATCACAAAGACTTTTAGAAAAGACGACGAAATTTCTTTCCCGTCCATTCGTCGATTACAACGAACGATAAACTCCTTTTACGATTCACCCGAAGGAAATAGGAACGCGTATTACCGTCGAACGTAATGATTTTACGTATTACCCCTCTCGTTGGCTGGCTCTGCTGCCAAGAAGCAAATAATAGGTCTCAATGAGAAACTCCAATGAACTCGGCGGAAATGGAAAAGAGGGGGTGAGAAAAGCGGAACAGAGGATAGGCTAGAAAGAGAGAGAGAGAGAGAGAGACGTCCAGCCTCTCTCGATATATTCGTAGTCACGAGTTGACGGCGCGACAAATTGGCTGAGCGTGTTCCTGAAATGCCGGCTGTATTATGCGAAATCCACGGGAGAACTCGCGGGGCCCCGCTATGCATTATAAAACTTCCCGCTCCTCCTCTTTCCCCCCCTCACTCTCTCTCTCTCTTTTGCATTCTATACCTTTTTTCTTTCTCCTGCTCCTCCAGCTTCCTCGTCTTCAGCTTCGTTGTTAGCTAAGGTTTTCCAGAAACGAGTTCGCGGAACGAGGAATATATTGTGCCCTTCTACGAGCATCGTTTCACCCCTTTTCGCCCAGGCAACTTGGCAGACAGCAGCGAAAACGCGAAAAGGTGCCGGCTTGCCTTTACTCATTATTCAACGGCCGCGTCGATTTGAATTCCCCTGTTGAAACTCGCCGGTAATTGGGCTCACCGTTACCTTCTATACGAGCGAATCCTCCTCGAATACATTCGGCGCCGTTGCAACCGGCGTGACCGCGTATAAATCACTGTGCGGTGATTAGCAGAGAAGATCTATTTTCTCGATTGTTCGTCACCAGGCCGCAACTTTGTCAATACGGTAGCAATCATCCAAGGATCAACTGAGACCACGCGATCTTCCACGCGAATGTGATATTCGATCCGTATAATTATCCGATCGCGACCACTTCCGTTATCCGCGCGCACGCGACACGAGAGGCGCCTACGCGATAGTCGGCTCGGTCGCGACGATATCGCCAATTTCTTTCGATACGATTTTCTCTCACCCGGACGAGAAATGTAAATTTTCCTCGGCGAGGTTTTCGCTGGAAGGATTGCAGAGGGAGAAAGAGAACCTGTCTGTAAATACCACGGGATTGACGATTTATGTCGATTCATGGGTTATGTAACGACCAATTGACCTGATAGCCGATCCGGTCCACGTTTCGGTTGGCGATTTCACTTGGAATTTTAAATTCGCCTCTGGTACGTTCGAATTTTTCCAAATCTGTCTTCTCTGAAATTTCTCGTTGTTCCTTGCTTCGAATTTCAATATTTGTCGATTCGTCGGTTGTTTCTGGCAAATTTTCAGTTTGCCAAAAGTTCTTTCGAATTTGTAGAAATCGAAAGGTTTTTCGCTGGTGAAGTCTATCGTTGTTCCTTACTTTCTTCCAAGGTGTCGTTGCGACAGTATGGTAATTCTACCTCGAATTTAAATATTCATCGATTCGTTTGGTCGATTTTATCGTGTATAGTTCTTTGTCCTTTTTTTTTTTCTTCTGCTTCGTGTTTGTGTGCGCGGAGGAGACACGACGGCGACGAGGAAACGTCAGAAGCGTATCCCATTGAGGCGCTGATTGGTTTTCACGACGTAACCGGTGCTTGCTTCTCGCGGTCATTTCGTCACGGACAAGAGCTTTACGGATCGAGTTTACGGCATTGTGCACGGACTCAGGCCACGGTATACACGCTGGCGTAACTCCCGCGTCGCTTAGAAACGCACAGACCTGTCCCCGGGGGACAAAGAACGCTTTATCTCAGGCCTGTAACGACGCCTGGACGCCTCGAAGGGCGCGCGATAAACGAAACATCGTCGTGTACCGAAATTCGTAGGTGTAATAATAGGTGATCCTACGGCTAGACCTTGAAAATCATCGCTACGCCTCTCGATAACGTGAACTCGTTACGTCGATCCAGATATCTCTGGTGAAATTTCTTAAATAGGTCATTCGTAAGAGCGATTGTAAATCTTCCTCTAACTTTGTTCTTCTTACGATTACTTCGTCACCGTTGATAACGAAGTAATTTTAATCTCCTACGTTCTTCTCCGATTAATTTCACCGATAACCAGAGCGGAGTGCGAATCGATCGAAAATTTGGAGAAAAAGGTCGGTCGAAGGTAGAAAAGGTAAGAGAGAAGGAAGGTTTCGCGTATGTACGAAGGATCCTCAGGTGACCGCGATCCTTCAGGAGCAACCCGCATTTTTCTGTAGCATTTTCCCTAAGGCGGATCCGGCACTACCTGTGTGCGCCTCAGTCCGGTGCAATAAATATTCGAGGGAAAGGGGCAGGTCGACGAGGCAGGTGGGAAAGACGAGGACAGAGGCTTTAACCGCGCTCACCTTACCTACCTGCCAGCAATGTCTGGCCCCCGATTTGCGTAAACACGCTCTAATTTATGGAGGTCTCGGTCTGCGTGAGCCGCCCTCGCAATTTACGCGGGAACCCCCTACGCGCCACCGAGATTAGTCCTCTCTCTCCCTCTTTCGTTTTCTTTTTATTTTGACAACCCCTAGTTGTCGGTCGTTTTATATATTTCGTCGTGGGGCATTTTGCACAGGGGTTAGGCTAGGTTTCCGTGAAAAACGGTTCGAGTTGACGACGGAACGAAACGATCGGTTCACGCGTAACTTTGCCACGGAACACGATAAGCGGGGCGCTTTTCGAGGGGGAGAAATAGAGAGTTGTACGTGTACACGGCCTCTTCTCTATCTTGTTCACGTGGATAATTCGAAGTTCACCGCACGAATGACGTTCCATCGGGTGAACAAAAGGAGGGAGGGATCTGTCGGGTGCCTGGTGTCGCATTGTCCGCGATTTTTCGTGAGATAGTAAACGAGCCGGGACCCGCGGTTTCTCAATGAATTCGTGGGAAAGAAGAATTCGAGGGAGCTACCGAGGGTAAGAGGAACGGTCTCGAGAAGGGATCTCGAAGTGTGGAGGCGGGGGAGGAGAAAATAGTAAGGGAGAGATTCGAGACGACGATTGGCCCGAAGAGGACGGCTCTCCTGGGCGCACGGGCACGAAATGAAATCGACGAAACGAAAGGAGAGCGAGAGAGAAAGAGGGAGGCGAGTTAAACGCGATGGTCTATTTCGCGCCAGACCGAACGTGGGGAGAAGTTTCTTTCTTCCTCCGAGGGGTTGAACGGTGCTGAGATTTAGAACGGCCCACGTAAACTCTGATCTCTCCTACCAAAGGTTCCTCTCCCAAAAGACGTTCTTTCTCTGTCTTTCTCTCTGTTTTATTTTATCTCTCCTTTTTTTTTTTTTTTACCATTGTCAGCTGTTATTTCTCGCGACGATACGATCGAATAGCGTGTGATGATAAAAGAAATTCTTAGCTACGTATACGAGGGGGGAAACATACCTCTCCTTCCTCTTTACAGTCACAGGTCAGCCTGCCATGATGGTCGCAGGAACAGGGGGGATAGTTGCACCTGTTCATCGAGTTTGTCAGAGCACCCTTGAACAAGCCGCCTCCTTCTTTTTTTTTTTTACCATTGTCAGCTGTTATTTCTCGCGACGATACGATCGAATAGCGTGTGATGATAAAAGAAATTCTTAGCTACGTATACGAGGGGGGAAACATACCTCTCCTTCCTCTTTACAGTCACAGGTCAGCCTGCCATGATGGTCGCAGGAACAGGGGGGATAGTTGCACCTGTTCATCGAGTTTGTCAGAGCACCCTTGAACAAGCCGCTCCAAAACAGTCCGAGGATAGCGCTTCCCAACACGAATTTCGCTGCTCCCATTTTGCGCCCTCGCTCCACTCTACTTGATCCACCCTCTTCTACTTTATTCTTCTTATTTTTCCTCGACTACTACCACCTTGTTCGACACGTTTTTACACCAAGTCGCCGATGCCAGCTGATTTAACGTCGTCGAGCCGACCTAGATGTCGACCCGACATGTCTGTCGCATGGATTTCCTGGATGAATCCAATCACAGCACTCGAAAACCCTTCCCCCGAAGGAAAGAAAATCCCTCTCGACGTTGTAGCACAATTTACACCTTGCGATACGGTTGTTCTTCCTCCTCCTCCTCTTCTTCTTCTCGTGGCAACGACGGAGAAGAAGCACACTAGTCCCGTTACTGCTGCTCTGACACTCCACGCGCCACTACGTAATTCTGTCGGTCATATTGCCGTGAGGAGGATCGTCGTCGCTTCACGCGCGCCACGATTTTCGAAGGTGCTCCACCACCACTGAATCGTCATTCGAACTTGTCACGAGAACGGTCCCGGAGCTACGACGACGTCATCGTTCCCGTTGTTATTTTCCTTCGCTGGACCGGAAACATCCAATTACATCCATGATACCCGGTGACACCGTTGAACATCACGACCAGTTATCCACGGATTTTCGATTTTCCACGGTTTGCCG